TACAACACCAAGAGCTAATGTGAACTATGGACCTTGGGTGACAATGATGTGTCACTGTAGGTTCATCAAATGTAACAAATGGATCACTCTGGTGGGGAATGTCCATGGTGGGGAAGCGTGCATGTGTGGAGGTGGAGTACCAAATTCTCTGAACTCTGCACTCAATTTTTCTGTGAATCTAAAACTGTTCTAAAAACCAAGTCTATTAAAATCTAACAGCAATATAGGCATTCTGTGGCGCCCACAAAGCCAGTCTGCAGAGGCCAAGGGCGGGTAAGCACAGCAATGGGCTTTCCCTGAGGACGCGGCTTCTGTGCTGACTGCGGTGCATGGAAGGGTGGCTGCCCCATCACAGGGAGGTGGCCCCCACTCACCTCCCCGACCAGTAACCTGAGAGATGAACAGCCTGCCTTGCCAGTCTTTTTATTTCCAAGAGAAATTGGAAAATCTTAATTTTAAAATAAAATCATTACTAATGATCGTAAATCATTCCAAATCTTTTTCTGACAAACACGGCCTAGGCAATCACAATATAGGACCATAAAACGCATCTGAGGACCCAACTCAGCCCACAGGCCATTGGCATCAGCCTCTGCTCTAAGAGAGGGCGTATAATATTAACCAACATGGGAGTGAGTTGGGGGGAAGACCAACCTCCCTACTCATTCAGGAACCTCCATCAGCCAACTTTTGTGTTTCTCTTGTCTCTGGCACAAGAACCACGCTCATCAACAAGAATGTTCATCAGACTTTGACTGTCACTTCCCCCACAAAGGGTCCCCTTCGTTCTGCCAGCGTGTGTGGTAAGCCGTCCTCCTGAGTTTGCTGCTGGAAGGAACAGCACGGTGCTTTTAAAGGACACGCATCGCCTCCAGCCAGCCATGCATCTTAGATCACCCAGAGTGACATCAGGGCTTCTTGCTCAAGATTGTGCAACTTTCTGATAATTTTGAGTCTCTGGAGCATGCTTGGATCCTAGGTTGGTCCAAAGTAGTATTATTAAAGCAAGAATAACAAACGCCTTCAATGCACAAAAGAGAGCATACTGCCAGCCAGAAGCGTTTCTAATTCTCGCCCTTTCCCTGGGTGGAAAAGCGGCCAGGGTTGAGCAGGCTTTACCTTAAAGCACGTTCAAGGTCAGAGAACCTACTGGGTGCCGAAACCATGTTCCATCAGCCCCAAGGAGCACAGAGATAAGATGCTTGCAATCGACTCTGATAGCAAGTGGAACAGGAGGGTCAGGGACAAGGTTCAGATGGTTCTGTGTCAGAGATTATTTCTGGCCTTAGGGATCACAGAGGGCAAATTCGAAGCAGGTGTCTGCTGAATCGCCCCTCCTTACAGAGGTGGAGGTACAAGCTGGTCAGAGCACACCGAGCATCCATAGAAAAAGGCAAACACCTTCTGGGCCCACTGTGCCATCATTCCAGGCTTTATGCAGCCCACTTAGTTCTCACAGCCACCCTATGATGTGATACTGCTATTACTGTCATATTATGAATAAGGAAACTGAGGCATAGGGTAGTTAGGGAAGGTGCCCAGGTTCACACAACTACCAACGTCCAGAGGCGGGATTTGATCCAGCCTGTGTGGCTCCAGAGTTCACGCTTTTTAATAACTGGGCCATGCAGCCTCCCTTAAGAATGAGCCAGAAAATGGATTTCCCTTAAATACATCAAAGATGTTTCCTGCCAGGAGGCCATCCTAGGCTTTTGTGCTGCCCCCTTCACCTCTGCCCTTCCCTTGTTGGGCTCCAGTCCTGACTAGGCCCCCACTCCATGCCACCCTGAGTCCTTCTGCATCCCCGGCCACCTGTTCCGCTTCTCCAGCTTCCACTTCAGACCTTCGTCAGCCTCTGTGGCCTCCTACCCCATGTCCGTGTCTCAACACCCACCTGCAAACTCAGCCAATGTGCAGGGACCCCGTCCTCTTCCCACACATCCAGGGCCCCTCCCTCCTCCAAGACCACACACAGCCCAGCGTGTCACGCCCTCTCCCCCAGCCCCTTCCTCTGCTCCCTGGATCTTCAGCCTCTCTCTCCAAAAGCTTCTTCTCGTCATGCTTTAAACAATTTCGAGTCTATACCACTAAGAAGAAGGAAGAAGAGGAGGGGGAGGAAGAGAAAGAGGAAGAGACAAAGAATATGAGAGAAAAAGGAGGAGGATGAGGAGGAAGAGGGAAAATGAGAAGGAAAAGAAGGAGAAATGTAACCACTGCTTGCAGTTTGCACACCACATCTGCAGCTTAATTTCCTGAAAACCGTGAGGTAATTACAGTTAATATCATCTGCACGTCACAGGTGTGGTCACTGAAGCTCAGTGTGGTCAGGTAACCCACAGCAGTAACAGCGCATGGGCAGATGGAGCCCGGGCTCTGCACCACCCACAGGCGACTTACCAAGGGCACATCCTTGCCTCTCCCCGTGCACCTCCCCAGCAACCTTAAAGGAAAGGAGCTCAGGTGCCAGGAGGCAGCAGCATCCCTGCGCTCCTCGGGCTGCGCTGGGCTCCTCAGCATCCCGTTCTCAGAAAGGACTCCACTCCTCCAGGCACAGCCTCCTGGGGCCGACGCTGTCACTCACCTGGGGGGCTGAAGGAGGCCTCCCATGTCTCCTCCAGGCAGAGCCTCCTGGGGCCGACGCTGTCACTCACCTGGGGGGCTGAAGGAGGCCTCCCATGTCATGGAATTGTCCCGCGTGTACAGCTCCACGGAGCCTCTGCCGTCGCTGGAGCAGACTTTGAACCCATTGGAGATGACCTGTCCCCCATACGCAGAAGGGATTGGTCTAGACTGTTCTCCTTGTGTCTTCCAGAAGAAAGAAAATGTGACCCCTGAGGAGAGGAAAGTCACAAAATCAGTTATTCCCTGAGAGCAGGGGACTCAACTTCTCAGAAGCACATGGTTCTCTTTGCTTTTTATTTTTCGTTCGAAAAGCATGTTGTCCCCATTCTAAAGGCAGTGTGTGTTCAGTTCAGAAAATCCAGACAGTAATATTTGCACATGTTTATTACGGGCTCACATAGCGCCAGCACTTTTCTAGGAGTTTGAAATGAACTCTCGCCTTTTAAAAAGTACAAAAATCCTGCTTCATCCCCATTATACAGATGCAGGAACTGAGGCTAGTTCACTCAAGGTCACCAGTGACGGAGGACGATCGCTGCAGCCCCCACTGGGAGCGTGCAAATGTGAAGACCTACACCCTCCAGGTTTCTCTCCTGTTCCTCCAGCAACGTGGTTAGGGTGGCTCCTTCCTAAGCCTTTTCTATAAATAGATTTACAAAGACATGAACCACCTCAGGCACACTGGTTTATAAACAACATTTCTATGAAATTCACTCCACCGTGAACCTCCTCCAACGTCCATAAATACACTTTCACGTTGCCATTTTTATGTCTGCACAGCGGTGCATTCTAAACAAGCACCACAGTCTTTTTTTAACAACAGTCCCCTGTCACTGGATCTTAAGGTTTTGTTCCACTTTTTGAAGAAATTTTCAAACAGAACTTGAAGCAAATTTTTTTGCCTATCTCAGATTATATGCCTTTAGGATACATTCCCAAGAGGGGATTTCTTGCCAAAGGGAAGTACACTTTTAAGGTTGTTGATATCCGCAATTGTTCATTTCCCAGGTGAACACAGAGAGGTCAGCAGCTGAAACCTTTTTCAAGACCCCAGTCTGCACATTTGTGGAAGTCCCGACCCCAGGCCCATGCGGTGGGGAAGGAGGGATTCCATGTGGACCAAATAGTCTGAGTGACGCACGTTAGCATGAATGAACTGACCCACCAGTTCATGCTGCCTCCGCCACCAGAATCAGATAGAACATCCCTCAAATATGTCGTGGCAGTATATTACGGTATACTATGACAATGAGATATTGTACCTTTGCGGGTCCAAAGACCTACTGTGATCAATGTAAACATGGAAAAACAGTGCAATTTTTATGATCCTGATGTGGGATTTCTCCATCTTTTCACCACAAGAGGAACTGCAGGCTGGGCACGGTGGCTCACGCCTGTAATCCCAGCATTTTGGGAGGCCAAGGCAAGTGGATCACCTGAGGTCAGAAGTTTGAGACCAACCTGGCCAACATAGTGAAATGCCCTCTCTACTAAAAATACAAAAATTGGCCAGGTGTGGTGGCAGGCACCTGTAGTCCCAGCTACTCGGGAGCTGAGGCAAGAGAATTGTTTGAATTGGGGAGGCAGAAGTTGCAGTGAGCTGAGACTGCGCCGTTGCACTCCAGCCTGGGCGACAGAGCGAGACTCTGTCTCAAAAAAAAAAAGAGGAACTGCAAAAGCCCAGCTCCTGAGTGTGCCCCCCCAAGCCCGACCGCTGTCCTGCACTCACGCCCACTGGTCTGGGGGCCGGGCTCTCTGCTGAAGGGGCAGTTGGGGCAGGGCCTCGCTGGAGGCTCCGTGGAGCTTGGGCCTCTCTAGCACTGCCTTTTGGAGCTCTGGTTTTCTCTTTTCCACTTCTTTGCCTCCAGCAGCATCTGCCCACCTGACCTTTCTTTGTGTGTAAACTCCTGTGTGTGTGTGTGTGTCTGTGTGTGTGTGTGTCTGTGTGTGTGTGTCTGTGTGTGTGTGTGTGTCTGTGTGTGTAACACTAGCTGCCTGCCTGGACTCTGCCTGTGACAGCTAGAAATACATCCAGCTGTCTCACCCCCGCCAAGCCCAGCCCAGGCACGTGGGTGAGAGGGTTCAGTGGTGCTGAGAGAGAACACGTGCCCAGAACTAGTCCAAAGAGGCCCATGATGGGACGGTGGGCCGGGGAGAGAGGCAGAAGGGTATTTGCCCTGGGCTTTATTTCTACAAGTGGTGCCAAATTTAGACTTTAGGCCTTACCTTCACATAAGGTTATGGACACAGTCTTAGAGAGTCACTGAATTCAAAGAAGACATTTGTCATTCATGTATAAGGTGGTGTCTCATTGCCCACTGTCCTTTCTGTGATGCCTTATGAATTAACACATCTGTTAGAAGTCCTTCAAATGTCTTGTGACAATATATCAAGACAACGATACCTTTGTGAGCTCAAAGCCCTCGCAGGATTCATGAAAAACACAGCATACATTTTAAAACCCTGGTATGGAATTTCTCCATTTTATTGTTTAAGAGAAGAAGAACATCCAAAAAATTGGAAGGGGCCTGGACCTTTCTGGACCTCTGAGAGGCTGCAGTGCACAACTCCAAGCCCCGCAGTGTCTGTCCTCAGGCTCCTGGGAAAGGAAAAAGCCCTCACCAGTGCCCAGTAACGTGGTCACCGTGGAACAGTGTGACTGTGGAGGCTGCACAGAGGCCTGGGGCAGCTGACGCGGGTGTCCCCGGACCTGGCCGGTGCCACCCACACCTACCTCATGAGCAGGCTCTCTGCCACACCTGCCTCGTGCTCGGAGGGGCACAGAGGCCAAGACAAAGCCCTGGGCCTCCCACCGCTTCCCTCCACGCTCAGAAACAACCCGTTTCACAAGGAAGTCGGCACAGTGCGTTGTGAAATTTTTGTTATGAAACAAATTCCCAGTAGGATTCATGGAAGTTAATTTTTTCCAAAAACTTTGCTGCATTTTAAAACTCCTTTCACTCAATTCAAAATGAGCCTGCTTGGCCAAATGTCTTTCTGTTCAGGAAGAGAAATAAAAATGTAAAAATTCCATGTGGTGTTAGGAAAGGGTAGATTGAAGGCCATCCACGGTGCCGGTAACCAAGCTTTTCATTTCGTTCACTCAACCCACAAAACAATGACCTCTACCTGAGCAACAGCTTATATTTAAGTATCAATTCACGTCTTCATAGAGTCAAAAAAATTCACAACGTGCCTTCCATATTAGCCTTTTAAGGAACTTTGCCTCATGGAGTTGGGCCATCAATACAAACAAGGAAAAATCTGAAGGAAAAAGAAACAAGCACAATATTGACAAACTAATGTAATAACTTTTTCTGGTTATAAGCACTGAATCCTAAAACATCCAAAAAATAAAATGAGGAAAGATCTTTCTCTACAAGACAGAAAAAGGAAAAATTAAAATCTAGAAGTCATAAGAAAAGACTAACAAATTTGAGTGCATAAATATAATATTCTGCAAGGCAAAAAAAATCACCATAACAAACTCAAAGACAGACAATCATCTAGGGAAAAAAAATATTTGTCACAGATCTAACAGATGAGAAGTTAATTCCCTTCATATGTAAAGACCACTGCATAAAACAAAGGATGATTTCTAGCAGGTAAGGAGAACTTACATGGGCTGAGGCTAAATCCTCCCAACAACCTGTAAATTAGGTATCTTTACTGTCTCCATTTCATAGGGGAGAAAACTGAAGCACAGAGAGGTGAGGTAACTTGCCCAAGGCCACACAGCTGGTCTGTGACGAGTCAGGATTTGAACCCAGGCAGCCTGGATCTGGAGTCTGCGTTTGTAATCGCTGTGCTGCGGCTACTGCCCTTCCCTTGGAGACCATGCATGGAGCTGCTCTTCCCAGGGCCACAGACTCAGCACCGTGCAAGAGCATGATTCAACACACGCCAAAGAAACAGCGGGCCAGGAGGGCACGAGGTTCCACCCGCGTGTGGGCCCGCCTGGCGTCCGAACCCGCCAGTCACCGCAGACCACACACCCGAAGGCTGACTCGGGCTGGGCCAATCAGAATCACCAGGACCGGCCCAGGCATGCGCAGACTCAGCTGACAAAACCAGAAGTTGGAGCTTCTGAGCGGCTGCTGCTCCCACACCAGGAAAGCAGCGGTGAGAACACAGCCGGAGCCAGGCAGGGACGGGGTCTGGTGGCCATCCCAGCAACCCACCGCGTTTCCTCGAGAGCCACGAGGCTGCGCGTCCCACACGCTTCCACGCAAGACTCAGAGCCTGTTTCCTGGCTGCCTCGCAGGCCCTGAACCTGTGTGACCAGGAGGAGACACTTGTTTGCACATGGAGCCTTTAAAATTCTCACTCCTCACCCCCACCCCAAAGCCCCACTCTAGTCGCTTTCTGAAATGCCTGGGGCTGTAGGGCACTCACTTTCCTCACGGGAATAAGAAATTCTTCCCTTTCCCCTGGCTCTGCTCCTCTAACAAAGCCACACGCAGGCCATCCTGGGGAATGGCCACTGCCTTCAGCCACAGCGAGGGACAGCAGAGAGTCCTGCAGGCTGAGGACGTCTGGAAAATGCTAGCTCTGCCTTAATGGGTGGTCACTCCTTACCCCTGACCGGCTGCTGCCAGTGGGGTGCAGGAGAGCAGTTCTGATATTTTGAGAGAAGTAAATTTTTAAGTGAAATTTTCCCGTATATAAAGGTTGACTTTTTTTGAGACAGCGTCTTGCCCCGTGGTCCAGGCTGGAGTGCAGTGGTGCAATCATGGCTCACTGCAGGCTTGACCTCCTGGGCCCAAGTGATCCTCCTGCCTCAGCCTCCTGAGTAGCTAGGACGACAGGTACACACACCATGGTGCCCTGCTAATTTTTTTTTTTTTTTTTTTGTAGAGACAGGGTCTTCCTATGTTGCCCAGGCTGGTCTGAAACTCCTGGGTTCAAGCAATCCTCCTGCTTCGGCCTCCCAAAGTGCTGGGATTACAGGTGTGAGCGACTGTGTCCTGCCAGAGTTGAATGTTAATTTTAAAAGAAAAACACTGAAAGCACCAGGAGAAATTTCCTTTCTGGAAACCTGGTGGGCTAGGGCATTTGGATCCACCCACCTGGCTGGACACAATCTAGAAAGTCTCACTATAAAAACAGAAGATCAACACAGCACCCACCAAACGAAGCACGTATAGTCAGCCGCGGCCAGTTCCGGGATGTGGTATCACGTGAGTTGCGAGAATCACCTGGAGACACT